ACTTAGCATATTATGTTATATGTATTTAGATTTATAATGATTGTGGCACAAATTTAAATTTTATTATTTATAGGCTACTAAAATTAAGTAATAATAATTTAAACATTTTTAAGATATCAGTTATAATTTTAAAATCTTATATAATCTTTTATAATATAAAAAGTAGTTATATAAATGAAAAATAATTTTGTATAATTTAGTTAAAATTATATTTTTATATAATTTCCATTATTTGTAAAAAATATAAATTATAAGTCATTTTTTTAGAAAATTATGTGTATTTTAATGAAAATTTGTCATTTAAACATCCTTTATATTATATCCTATCCTTGTGTAGTTTGTTCTCTTGTGTTCACTAAACACTAAATATGATTATATCTTATCTTTTTCTTATTTTTATCATGTCCTTATCATGTCCTTATCATGTCATGTCCTATTTTCTTATTCTATCACATCATGTCCACCGAATGGGTCCCATGTGACATAAATTTATGTGATAGAAACCCTTGTGAAATGGAAGAGTCGGAAGAAAAATAGTATGGGGAGCAGAGTTTCTAAATGTGTAGTTTTATGATGGAGATCATCTCTGAATTATGATTGTTCTGAAACAGATAAATTCTTCTTCCTCCATGCTTTCTTTCAAAGGGAGTCCATACTGGATGGCACCTGAGGTAAAATATTTTATCCTTTTTTCACAATTTTCATTTTGAACAGACGCGTCCTTTTCACTTTCACTGTAAGTTGTAATGTATACTGATCTTTGCTTTCTTAGGTTGTAATGAATACAAATGGCTATAGCCTTCCTGTTGATATATGGAGCTTGGGATGCACAATTCTTGAAATGGCAACATCAAAGCCTCCCTGGAATCAATATGAAGGGGTGCGATTTTGGATATCTATAACTAGCATTTATTTGCATGTTTGATATGAGCCTATTTAAAGAATATGAAGGGCAAACATTGGTTTTAATGCTTGTATTCATCAGGTAGCGGCAATATTTAAAATTGGTAACAGTAGAGATATGCCTGAAATCCCTGATCATCTCTCAAGCGATGCAAAGAATTTCATTCAGCAATGCTTACAAAGAGATCCATCGGCCCGCCCCACAGCCCAGGAGTTACTAGATCACGCCTTCATTCGAGATCAACCAGCAACAAAAGCTACAAATGTCAGAATAACTAGGGATGCTTTCCCCTGCAGTTTTGATGGAAGTCGGACACCGCCGGTATAGTCCTTAATGCTTTTTTATTTTCTTTCTGAAGTTATGTTGTTTGGCGTCTTACATGTTAATTCCATTCTCATGTTTAACATATATGTGATTTCATCATTTGTGGTTATCCTATACTGGATAAGATGTGATGATTGGATTTGATCATGTTATATGTCAGGATTTATCTCAATGGTTTGCTTAGTTTTTCTTATGCTGTACGTATTATGCAGCTCAATCCTATGTGCCTACTATTATCATGTTTAAAATAATATATTGTAGATATTTAGTATATGGCTGAGATGTGATGATTGGATTTCGTCACATCATATGTCAGGATTTTATTTCAATGGTTTGCTTACTTTTTCTTATGCTGTACGTATTATGTAGCTCAATCCTATATGCTTTTACTATTATCATGTTTAAAATAATATATCTAAATATGTAGTAATTATATGGATGAAGTGACTTCTGCAAATCAATTGGTGTCTGTCTGGATATAAACTAGAAAAGTTGTTCAGGTTTTCTTTACTAAACATACATAACTTCGTTGTTTGGTTGTGTCTATAGAATTATATGTTAAACAGATATAATGTTGTAATCAGGAAAGGACGAAAAAAAGCAGATGATTGTCTGTCATGTGTGTTTTGGTGGTTATGTAAGCTACTAGCTTTTTGTATGGAATTTGATCGTCTTTTTTTACCCAAGACTGTTGTTGGATTGCATATTCATGTACTGGTGAAGTTGGAGAACAGATTAACAGGGTGATCATGGTATAGTTATGGGTGACAACTGATAACAGAATATCGCTTTCCTTTTTTTGGATAAAAGTGTATTGCATAATTACTTAGAGCACATAATGCTGCAAGAGAATCCTAAAGCACAGCAAAACTTGGATAGAAAGTATTAGTTCATTTGAAGTCATGGTTATAATGCACATACTCCGTAAACTTTATTTTGTTATTTTGAAGTTGCAAAATATCTTAAAATCAATTTCTATGGCAAGCATTGAGATGGAGCTAACTTTCTCTTTGTTTGAATTGCTTTGCAGCCAGTTTTAGATCATTCCAATAGAACGAGTATAAATTCATTGGATGGAGAATATGGAACAAAGCCAGTTCCTGTTACTTCACGTGCAGTAAGGAGCCCAAGGTTAAACATCTGACATTCTCTTATCAAGGCCTGGTGATTAATCTCTGTATATGCTGAATAATTTTTATGCTATTTAGACTGACTCGCTGTTTGAACTTCCTTCTGCAGAGATAACACAAGGGTGATCACATCTTTACCAGTATCGCCCTGCTCAAGTCCATTGAGACAGTATGGGCCAGCCCACAAGAGCTGTTTTCTTTCTCCTCCTCATCCAACTTACACTTTGATGGGGCAAAATACCCTCCCTTCATATCCAGTGAGATCAAATGCAACATTCACTCTTGATCCTTTTCATGAAAAATCTTTTTACAAAGCCCACACACCGGGTGGATCCCCTAGAAGATTCATTTGAGTTACCGATTGTAAATACCTCTAAAGTCTTTTGGTTTCCCCGGCATACCTTGTGTTCAGTGGTTGAACTTCAATCATCTGCACTATTAGAGTACAAACTCTATGTAAAGGATTCTGGTCAATTCTTTATACATGAGAACGAGACCACCTACGGTAGAAGTGAGGTGTAGGACCTCTTGATGCAGCCATTAGACTGGGGACACCGTGCTGCTTGTAACAATTTATTGATTACTGTAAAGGCAAGTGTTTACTGTTTGTAGTAACGTTTATGTTGTATATTGTTAGTTCATGGCAGGAGAAAAAAGAGGGTAATTTTTCATACATACTCTTCCACTTTTTTAAAATTATGTATTTTACCTGAGGATGATGTGTATGGTGTGGAACTTGGTTCCAAACCGTGAGCCATGCCAGAATGATGGGCTATAAAGTTGAAAGAGCCAACGAGAGTCCGGAATGTCCAAAATATTAATTGGAAGCAATTTTATTATTACGAATTTCTTTGATTTATATTCAAATTACTACTGCACGTCATGAAGTTGGTGTTGAAGCAATGTAAAATGAACCTCGAAGCTCATTTTAAAACTTAGTTGCAGAGGAAATTTGCAATTTTTTTTATTGTATGACAAGAATAGTTGTCTAAATATTGTTTATATAAAGAAGCGGTGGAATGACGTTATTTTTTATCTTTAGTTTTTCTTTCGAAACATAGAATAATTTGGTTGAGTAACCAATTTAGCTATCAGATTTTTCAAAGCCTGAATGATGAAAATAGAGAGCATTTTTGTTTTTGAAAATCTAATGGTTAAAATTAGTTTTTAAATAAAACTATTATATTTTAAGGAAATGAATGTTTAAGTTGAAAAGTATTGGTATGTTGTTTTTATTCGTCTCTCGTTCAACAACTTGTTTATTACATTTTTTTTTTAAATGATCAGTGTTTTGAATGGAGACGTTTTAAGAGTATAAAAATGACATTATTTAGATATAAGAAAAGAGAATAAAAAGTAGAAGGAAATAATTGAAAAAATTAGAAATTTGATTCAATGCAAATTTTTATTTATCTTATCCATTTTTCTCCAAACTCCATTCTTTTCACCATGTTCTACAAAATTTGTCACCTTTTCAGAGTCAACTTTGTATCAAATATGATTTATTTTCTCTTTTCGTCGTTTCCATCACTTCATTAGCAAGAAGTACCACATTCAACACATTTCTTCCCCCTATAAGAACGGCAATCGCTTCCTCTACCGTATTATCAAACACCCTTTGTCACTGTATCACATCACGCTATCACTGCCATCACGCCTACCATCATTGTCGCACCGTTGCGGCAGAAGAAGAGACGGAGAACCTTGTGCCAAAAGAAGAGAGAAAATATGGGAAAAGAAACTTGTTTTGGAAAGTTTTTCCTAGAATGTATTTGCAAGTTTCAATTTTACTCCCTTAGTAAGTCTGACAATGCTAGAGAAGTGTTTAGGTCCTTGCTGTTCATAATCTCCTAGCAACCTTCTTTATTTAATTCTCCCTTGAATCCTTTCAGCCATTGCTGTTAATTGAGTGTGCAAATCAAAGTCTGAAATGGATGTCCCCTTCTACTGTTGCTGCACTTTTGCTTATTGCTTCTATTTTCTGGTTTTGCTATTATTCCTTCTCGCACTCCTTTCTATTTCAGAATCAAATAACAACGTCTGGTTCTCTTTTCTTCTTTGCATACAAGAAAAATTTTAAAAGAAATTGAGCATAACAGAGTATACAACATAGTAAGGAATATAACTAAATGTGTTAGAACTATATATACAGATTTATCCAGCAATCTAATCCAATTATAAATATCTTAGCCAAATCCCGACTACTTCAAATTAGTTCTAGCAAGTGTACTATGTGCATTTGTAGTATCAACAAATGTTTATCCACAGAAATTTATTAAGATCATCCAATATTCAAATCTGAGTTAGATTCAATAGTACAATGTTTGTAGTAATTTTAATGATTATGAAAACAGAACTAATTGAGTTTTTAAGAAGTGCAATAGTAAAAACGTGTTGACGTTAGATTTCATTTCACCTTTCTTTGTTGCACTGCTGTTGATCTTTATTTATTTAATATGCATGCCGTATAAATGTCTTAGAGTTTTTTAAGGTAATTCCAAATTCTTTTTATGACATCTAAAGTACAAGGAATTCAAATTTTCTGTTGCTCTGCAGATCATTGCTGTTGCTTTTTCTTTGCAGATGACTCCATTTTCTGTTTCTACGTTTTTTAAACAAACTTTTGAAATTAAAAAATCCAAATGAGAATTGATATTTATTAAAATTTAAAAGCAGGGAAGCACAGATACACATTCACAAGGCTTCGAAATACTCTGCCTTACAGATGGGGTAGAGTTTCAGATGGTGTTTCTATCTGAGATTCTTGAATTGTAAACTCTCTTACAGCGTAAGAAAAAAAGTATCATATATCCATTTAGCATTTGTGGGTCATAGCCTCTCTTAGTCGAGCTTCTCTGACTGCAAATGAAAAAGAAAGAGTGAGGTAACTTGCATTTTAACAAACAGCTAAAATGAAAAGAAGAAAATGTTATGTTTGTAGAGAAATATAGAAAACTTCAGTCATATTTCATTCATTATATGACCATGTAAAGAAATCAACTGCTACTAAGCACAGTATTTATTCAGTGTATTAAATACAAAATAAGACAGGTACAAGTCAAACTCGATTAAACAAGTTATTCTTGGCCAAATACTAGTTCTGCTTGATCAGGATTTTGCTTAAGCTGTGACCCTGCAAGAATCTTACCCAGTTATAAATAGTAGTTCAAAATTTGAACACGTTAAACGATACCTTGATAAGCATGTACGTAGGAAGCCAAGCTGGAGCAGTGGGAATCCCTACCCATGCAATCTATCAATAAAGCACGAGTTTTTCTCAGTATAAAACATTAAAATTCTTGACAATTTCTTCATAATTGGAATCTAGCACATATATCATGCAATCAATTGATATAGGCTCAGCTTTGCTTGATCAAGAGAACATCATTGGCATTGCAAAAAGAGAGTTAGTTTTGATTCTTGCCGAGGTCTCACGTTCATCAGAACATTGTTTCTTAGAAAGATATTTGTATTCTATGAAAATACAATAGGATAGACAGATGTAAGTTACTTACAAGAGCATACTCTCCTGTTTCAAATATACGCATATCCAGGACCTAGAAGAATTCCCCACAATTGAATTAGATAAATTGTGATGACATAAAAAAGCAGAGCCACCCCATGCAAACTAGTTCGACAAGTTTTGCTTTTTACCTCACCACGGTCTTCATAAATGTAGTCTAATCCTTTGTAATAAGGTGGGTGCCCAACAGAAAGATACTGAAACATTAAAAATGGACACGTCTGTGTTCACAATCGAAACCAAGCCAATAAATAATACGACAAAACAACGTTCTTCTTACATTGATGCTATTGAGATATTTCTCCTTGTCCACCCTCACAATCTGACCTTTCTTCACTGCCCCCCGCCAAAAAAGCAAGCAGCAGTAATCAAAAGAAGAGCTTTAGTCTCTTAAGAAACACTAGTCAGTTCAACGTTTGCTATACTCACAGGAATAAACTGGTTTCTTGGGAGGCTTAGGAGAAGCACTTGCAGACTGAGCCTTAGATGACCCTTCACTCTTACTCTCCGGGGTCTCTGATTCACCACTCTGTGCTGCACGAATCAGTCGGAAATTAACTCTCTTTGTTCTCAAAATTTGAGGGAAGCGAGGAAGAGAAGGGAAGGTGGTGTAGGATAGAGTTGCAGAGAACGCCATGAAGAGAAATACAATGCCACGTGTCTCGGGTCTCCTGTGTAACGTTCTACATGTACTGGAGATAAGAGAGGATGTCACACCTTAAAAACCGTAGCTAATGACAGCGTGCCACGTTGTTACGAAGAGGACTCAAATGTCCATTCATGAAAAGTTAAGACCAGCTTAGGAATTTCATCTCAACGTTAAAACGGTCGCGTAGAAACCATCAACGATAGGGAATGCTATGAATTTCCCATATCTTACTAGCTTCTCCGAACGTGTCGTTGCTCCTCTTCATGCCACAGTTCCCACTACAATTATCAGGTTCCGTCTTTCAGTTGGGCATTTTCTCGAACAGGTTTTGGTGAAGTCTTGTATTTCGTCCTCTTTTTTATTGATTCTATGTTTTTTTTTTCAGGGGCAATAAGGCGGAGAGTTTTGCAATTGAAGGGCGTAATCTGAGATTCTCATTCACGACGAGGCAAACGCAAGATGTGCCTGTTCTTAGGGATTGTTCAATTCGCATTCCTTGCGGGCAGTTTTGGATGCTTCTTGGACCCAATGGGTGTGGAAAATCTACCCTCTTGAAGGTATTATCAAAATTCAGAAGTGAGAATCAGTGTTTTGCAGTGCAGTGTTACTTGTAACGTAACGTTGTGTATAGTGTGCAGATTTTGGCTGGTCTCTTGACCCCAACTTCAGGAACAGTGAATGTGAATGAACCTAAAAGTTTCGTTTTCCAAAATCCAGATCATCAGGTTTTTATTTTCAGACTCATATATTATTAATTTTTGTTCTTCTTCTTGATTCATGCTATCTTTCTTTTAAGCCAGTGTGGGCATTGATTTTCCAACGGCTGATAGTCATAAACACCGGCAATTTGGCTTCTTCTGAGATTGTGAATCTGCTGTTCCAATCTCGAGTCTTTAAACCAGCCAAGTAACTGTGTATGGAAATATTTACTTAATGTTTAAGCAATTGCTTACTTTCTAAGGCTAGGATGAGGGTGAGTCACTGCTAAGACACTTGACATGACTATGAAGTAATATCATAAGGTGCGGTAGCCTCTAACTACGGAATATTCTAGAGTTGCTGACATGCATGTCCTGAGCAGGCAACAGGAACCTCCTGCCTCAGTCGTAGGGAGCACCACCAGATGTATGTGAAAAGGCTGAACAGGCTTTAGTGGACCTCAGGGGGCTCTTCGGCCCAGCAATGATTTGAGGATGGGGGTTTGTTCTTGGTCAGATTCTATTTGATTAGGCTCGCTGTTGTAGACCTAAAACAGAAATTAACAGATAGGTTAAATCTTTTGTGTCTATGTAGGTTAAATCTTTTCGCTCTACGTTTGAAAAGGAAATTCATTGGACTTGTTTTCTATGGGAGTGGAGATATGAGCTAAAATGTTATTTTTGGATTATAAAAGTTCAAATTCAAAGATGGAAACCTCATCAAATTAATTCAGAGTCACACTGATGTTATTAGGGGAGGAGAAAAGTAGTTTCAATGTTTCTTTCTTCAGTTACCTTGCTACTATTGCTATGCTGTTTACTGACTTCATTGTATGTTGCGATATAATATTGTCATGTAATCTTTATGATGGAAGAATTAAGAATAAGTTAACAGCTCAAACTGTAGTCAACCTGCCCTCTGACTATTTTTCTTTCTTTCTTTTCCTTTTGGGATAAACGACCTTAGACTAATGTTTAAGCAAATTTTGAGGCATTTTCTAACCACTTCGTGTGCCTTAACTTTTTCCAAGAAAACTCCCCGAATGGGGGAATGACTGTTACAGTTTCCGTGGTACTTATTGTTATTGCCGCTATCCTGACCTCTACCAGTACCCTTTCAGAATTCTAGATTTGAGATTTGATTGTTTTTTCTTCGTTGTTTGTTCTATGGAAGCATGGCTTCTTTTTCCTCTGCATCTCGATGGGTAAGGAATGATAGTTGACTTCTCCGATCTATTTTTCTTGTTAACCAAATGTTTAACTTTTTTCCACAGTAGACATTTACAAAATATTTATGCGAAAATTACTGATGTTACGTCAACAAATTAAAGTCTTAATACAAGTAGCCTCGTCCATCAAGGGATTTTTTAGGGGTGGGGGTATGGGAGGGGGACACCAACCACATCGGACTGCATGTTTAAGTTTTGCGGATTCTTATGCAGAGGTAACAGAGAAGTTTGCTCCACCTTACGTATTCTCCTTTCCAGGTTTTGAATTAAAAGAAATGTGAAGGGAAGGGAAGGAAGAAAGGCTTTTGTTTAGGGCATGCCATTTGTCAGATCTTCTCCGAATGTTCCTTTTTATTTTTTCCTTCATTTCAGAGCATGGAGAATTTGCTTGATTTCTTTGTTCGCTACAATAACAGGTGTCTGTTGTCATAGTTCCATCTAATAAATTTTAATAATTTGGTTGTGTATACTTGTAAATATTTTTCTATCCAATCTGCTTTTGAATATTTTCTCAATGTTTGCAATTCAGGTACAACTATTGTGATAAAGAAAATCAAAATATAAAAGTAAAACACCTGAATTTGTTATCAATCTACTGAAAATTTGCAGCCGGAATCCTTATGATGTATATGATCGGACTGCCAACTGAGTAGCTTTATATTTGTTGCAGGTGGTGCTGCCTACTGTGGATGCTGATGTTGCATTTGGTCTTGGTAAGATCGATTTGACTCACGATGAAGTCAGGTCTAGGGTGTCGAGAGCTTTGCATGCTGTAGGGCTGACTGACTACATGAAGGTAATAGGGACAGCAACCTAGAACACTCATAACAAAAGTGTAAACTATATAATAAATAAACTTTCCTTTTGCTGCAACATTCAGAGATCTGTCCAAACTCTGAGTGGTGGTCAGAAGCAGAGGGTTGCCATTGCTGGTGCTCTAGCAGAAGCTTGTAAAGTTCTGTTGTTGGATGAGCTCACCACATTCTTAGATGAAACTGACCAGGTAATCCATGAATTGTGGTGTTCTATGCCGTATCATGCCATATTTGCTGTAAAATCACAAAGATTGAGGTCTTCAAATAGGTGGAAGCAAGGGACTTTACTTTCTCCATCTACAAAAATAGTGACCGTTACTATTGTTTCTTGCTTGGTGTCATTTTCTTTACGGATGCCTTTCATCAGTATGACACATTCAAGCTGACAGAACAATGCCATGGGGGCAGTGTCTATTTTAGCTTTCGGAATTCTAAACAAACAGATAACTTAACATGTTTTCAGTTTTCGTGGTTGCAGTTGAAGATGTTCATATTAGGTATTATGAAAGTTGTGTTGTAAGACCAACACTTTTTAATAGATGGCTTGCACTTTTCATTTAAGGTCGGGGTTATCAAAGCTGTCAGGAACTCTGTGGATACCTCTGCAGAAGTTACGGCATTATGGGTCACCCATCGTTTGGAAGAACTAGAATACGCAGATGGTGCCATCTACATGGAGGATGGAAAAGTTGTCATGCATGGAGATGCCGCTAGCATTAGGAGTTTCATTGAAGCCAGACAATCTGCTTATATAAACCAGATCAATTCTTAAATATGTCTTCTTTGTTTCTGAGAACGATTCCCGTTAGTCCTTGAAACTAAATTAACATGATTAGGAGGAGGCAACACCACAGTATCTCATCTTATGCTGTCCTTTTAAAAAATTTCAAATAAGGAGAGCGATTTTAAAATACTCTTTTTTGTAGTTCAAATTCTTGAATATGAATACGATGCTGAAGAATTACTCCAATCTTATTTTTTGCTAGATGTAATTCCGTTGAATTTATCTATTTGAGACTTCTTTTGTTTCCACTAAAACTTGAAACAAGGAGAGATTTCAAAATATTGTAAGAGTTTACAATTTAGTTCTAAAGTGTTAACTTTAACTAAGTCAACGGAGATAAATTGAGACACTTGAGATAACCAAAGTTCCAGAATTTATTTCATTCTGTCAATCCTAAGTGCTCCCAATGCATCTAGAGCAACATTTTTGCTTGAGCACGTTACATGGGTTTTATTTTATCAAAATTATATATATATATATATATATATCTTGAGGGGTGCCTCATCTCATCTGCAGGCTGCTACTATTGCTAGGTAGCCATATTAATATCATAGAGTTAGGCAAACTATGTTGACATTTTTAATGATTTTAGTTGAAGCGTAACAGAAACATTGGGAAAATTCCACTACCATAAAAGCACGTTTTGGTCTACGATAAGTTAGTGGATACTTGCTGCTACTTCTGGTTTTGAATATTCTCGTTTTGTTTGGTTTTTATAATTCTAAACTGGCAACTAACCTTCGGCTTGGTTTTTTTCGGTACATCGCATTTTCTTCATTGGTACTTATCTAACCCTTATCATTCATGCTACAGGTCAACTACACACCAAGTTCCATAATTTTCTGATGTGATTGCTAACGAATAAAAAACAATTATTTTCCCTGTTGATTTATCTTTTCTAATTGTCCGCTGGGAATTGTTTTATCGTTAGTTTAGAAAGTTAAATGTCAATTATTAAACAAACAAAAAGACACAAAATCAATATCTTTATTTCATTATAACAAACCTCTACTATAAAGTAAATATTTATCACAAATAAAAACAATTTAATATTTTTTTTATAATTAGTTACAATTAATCCCGCAATATTCATTTTCCCCCAAGTTTGACTTAACTAAAATCTCTTTAGTTTAATAACCATGGTTTATAAATTAATTGTTATACTATAAACCAACTAAAAGTGATTCTAACAAGACTTGCCTAAATAATAATTATTAAAATTTATAAATTAATTAAATATCAATAGATATGGTGATCATGATTTTAAGCTTGCAATATTTTACATTACTTTAGGGTAATAATGGTAGCAGCAATAGCCGTGTTGAAAATGGGAACAAATGAACTAACATCATTCAAAAAACAAAAGCAAGCCTAAGACTTTTGAACATTTAATTCAAAGCTATCACAAACCCAAGGAACAGGGTATCTTTGCCATCCACGGTTCATGCGAATTGCAAAAGGACAAAACATAAGAAAAAAAATCCACAAAAGTTGGTAGCTGCTTCGTTCCTTCTTCAAATGCGACGAAGTTTCTACTTTTAAAATTCCCAACCCCTCTTCGTTCTCTCCGTACATCAACGCCGTTTCTGACTCCTTTAATCCCCAAATTTCGTCATTTATTTTTCAGCGCTTCTTTGCCTTCCTTTGAATCCAATCCTCGCCAATAAAACCATTACCGTGATTATCCCTGATGGGTTTTTCTCGTCGATCATAATCATATCGGGGTTTGCTGAAAAGGTTTTTCCTTTCCACGTGTCTCCTTACCTGTCGATCCTGAGCTCCATAGCTTGAACACTGTGTTACTGTGAAGTTTTTTTTTTTATTTGCCGTTGGGTCAATTTAGCTTAAGTCATAACTGGATCACATGAAAATGATGCCTTCATCTCCCAATGAAGAACAACTTGACGTAGAAAATTCCAAGTTGGACAAAGACAAAGAAAGAACTCCAAGAAGTGCGAGGGTAATAAAAGTCCACAATCAGGCGTTATTGTCTTGACTTGCATATTGTTTTTCCTCCTGTGGCATGATATTGGTTAACAAGTTTGTACTTTCCAGCTATGATTTCAATGCTGGGATATCCTTGATGCTGTACCAGGTATTTGTTTTTGTGTCCTTGGAATCATTTTCCCCTTGCCCCTTTGTTTTTTAGGATAATGATGTGGAAGTTGCTTGAGCTGGATTGATTCTGACAAATTTTGTGTGGATGCAGAATTTGATTTCAGTTGTTATTGTTTCTGTGTTGAGTATTATGGGTTTAGTTTCGACCGAGCCGCTGACATGGAGATTGATTAAGGTCTGGTTGCCTGTGAATGTTATATTTGTCGGAATGCTCGTCACAAGTATGTTTAGGTATGCTGTCTTCAACATGGTGGCTCTTATAATGTTTTGCAGAATGTACTGATGGATCCTGTTTATGAGTAATCATGAAATGGAAACATTGTTCATAAATTCAGGGAAGAATTATTCATATTTGAGGATCATGGAGCTCTAAACTTGTTCTAACTTTATGTCGTTAAACATGTGATCTTAACATTTATCATCTGTACCAGTGTCAATATCTGAACTGAAATTACAATTGAGCAGTTTGTCACTCAATCTTGTTTGCTGTTGGCTTTTAATTATCCCTTTGTATAATGTGCAGTTTGAGATACATTAATGTAGCCATGGTGACAGTCCTGAAAAATGTTACTAATGTCATAACTGCCCTTGGTGAAATGTACTTGTTCAAGAAGCACCACGATGGCAAAGTCTGGGCAGCTCTATTTCTAATGGTATGTTGACGAGCTTGACTTGTGAATCTTGCAATCCCTTTATTTTGACTGTTCGAGGCCCTGACTGTGATGTAGAATAACGAATTCACATATTGTACCTTTACATATGAATCTTGCAATCCCTTTATTTTGCGTGCATCTCCTACAATCACTACTCTTACCAACATATTTTATCGTTCTATTATATTTATTCAAGGATTTAGTCACTATGGGGGAAGAAGTTACTTGTCTAATTATAACCAATGACAACATATTCATACGATAGCCAGGCTCTCCAAAGTTCCATGTCATATTCTGGAAAGTAGTTGGTCAACTGTCACAACTTATCTGGGGATTACTTTGCAGGGGTCTATTTCCTACCAAAAATGCATTTGTTACTGTGTGGTGGCTTGTCTGTTTTGATTTCATACTTACTATGTTAGGACATAGGGTATGTGGATATAATGGGAAAGGGGATTAGGATAGGAGGCAGAGGAGTTGTATAAATAGTTGTTTGTTTAGTGGATGGGGGACTTTTGGCAGTTAGATTGTTGACTGGCTTTGTCCTGTGGAGGGAGTTAAGCCCTTTGTATCTGTAGTTGCACAGACCATTCTTTTATGAATAATACTCAGTTTAATTCCTTTGTCTCTATTGTGTGCCTGTTACGTGTGGTGTTGGAGGTTCGTGATTAGGTTTCTCTTTCGGAAACCTATCATACTATAATCATCTTTTATTTTGTTGAACTCATATAGCTTTTTACTGTTTCGACTCTCTTGAAACTATGCATTATTTGGATCCTTAACTAGCATAACAAGTTTTAGATATAAAACAGCCTGAAAGAATGTCCTTTTCCCTTGTAGATCATTTCAGCAATAACTGGAGGAATTACCGATCTCTCTTTTAATGCAATTGGCTATGCTTGGCAGACACTAAACTGCTTCTTAACGGCATCATATTCTGTGAGTATTATGTTTTGTGATTCTAAACTTCATTGGCACAATAAGTTTCATTTTTTGTTTCCACTTTGGTTACCTTTCCATTACTGCCTGAAAATGTTTTAAATGAAAGTACAACTGAATACGGGAAGATGTAAGTTTAAAACTATAACTTTTAGTCTTTGACTTGAGAGCTAGATATTAATCTAATATCATTGTATGTGCATAAATTCAATCATGTGTGTCTTGCTAAAGTCTATCATTGTTTGGTTATGATCACTGTGTTAGATAACCTATTAGTTAGTTTATTTAGTTAAGGGCACTTGTGTAGAATAGAAGAGAGGAGATTTTGGGACTTTGGGCATTAGGAGGTGTGAACCCTCAAAGTTCTGCAGTCCAAGATATCAGGTTTCTATCTCATTACAATGTTCTTATGAGTCTTTCAGCCCCATTTCATATTTTTGGTTGTTTCTATTGGAGTCAAGTCCTAGTTGAAGTCTGACATTGGATAAAAATATGCAAGAAGTGCAACAAATGAGAAGAAAAAACCCACAAACTTATTTGTCTTAAGGTTTTGGATTGAAGGTGGTATTATACTTCCTTATATGGGTTTGCTCATAACCTATATGTTCCAAATCTCCTTGATGTCTCCTGTCGAAAAAACTCAACAAAGTGGTATCCAAGTTATTAATTTTTGGTGATTGGCTTAGATAGTACCAATATGGATTGGGTGAAGAATGTTTTCGCTCGAGCGAGAAGTATAATTAATATGAAAGGGACTCATATTTGAGAGATAGTTTGTTGGAGTGAAGTGTGAGTTAAGTCCCACGAGGTAAAAATATGCGAAATAAGCAACCTATAAGGGAAAAAGACTCACAAGTTACCTTACCATTCTTGGGTTGAAGGTGGTGTCATGATTCCTTATATGGGTTTGCTCATAACTTATGTTCCAAATCTCCTTGGTGTCTTTTCTAGAAAAAAACCGAACAATTTCAACAATGATCTTAACATATGCTATTATCTTATCTCCATTTCTCTCTGTGCTAAGGACTGGCTTAGACTTGGTTTAAAGCAAAAGTAAAATTAAAAGAAAAAATATATATGAAATATAGTTCATCACAGATGAATTGAATTGAGTAGTTTATCCCGTCAGACTTTCCAACATGAAGACAAATTACTCATCACCTATTCCGGGTGAGAGAATTGACTCAATACTTTTCAGTTTGACCTGTTGGTTGCTTTTGTGGGGTTTCTTGAATCATAGTACTTAATTACTTCTACATATACATGGAGTAGGTTTAATTTGGGTTTTGGTTTAAAAGGACAATATACTATCATGGAAAGTGTGTATGTAGTGTCATAGATATCACTGAATTAAATTTATCTGAGTCAAGTTTGCTTTTTGATTTTATTGGTGCAGCTGACTCTCCGTAGGGTCATGGATACGGCAAAGCAAGTTACCAAATCCGGAAATTTAAATGAGTTTTCGATGGTCTTGTT